CAAATTTTATGAAATTTTAGATTATAATATTTTTAATGATCATTTTCATTACTTTTTTGATCTAAACCAAACTTTATTAAATCTAAAGTATGGTTCCACTTCAACTTTGTTTTCTTCTAAAAAAATACTTCCCCACAAATATTGTCCAAAAAACATTTATGCTATTTATTTTAACTTAACACAACTTTTCAATGAACTTTCTAATGTTTATTTACACGCTTTCTCAGGTTTAGTAGCTAAGAACTTCTTTATTTCAGGATTCTGATTTATAATCGTTTATGAAAAATGGATACCTAAATTTTTTATAAATATATACTAATAAAATGTTTTAGGGCTCTTGTATAATTTTTAGGAATGTTTTTACTCTCTCCAGGAAGCATAAATATTTCATTGTTTTGTTCTTATTGTTTTATCTCTTGATTTATTTGAATAGGCTTCTTGAGTTATTTTTCATCTTTTTGGATTAATTTTACAATTTTAGGTACAATATGTTTCTTAGAATTATCTTAAATTATTTAAGTGCTGGGCTTTTGATCCTCAATATTTGAATCTTCTTCGGCTTCATAATAGTTATTTTAATAATCAGGGTAAGAGTATGAATCAATATTCAAAAAGTTTTTGGGTACTTAATAAGCCAAACTCTCAAGTTAATCTTCATCAAAGTTAATATCACCTAAGCTATCTTAATTCCATTTTTTCATTTTTTTTTATATTTACTCTTATCGAATTCATAATACTTTTATATAACAAAAATGCCCAATAAAATTATATCTTATTATTAAATTATAGTATTAATTTATTCAATTATACATAATTTATAAATAAATGGAAAATTATTTATTCGCATTTTCTTGAGTTTAACAAGGATTCATAAACAAGTCTAATTGGATTAAAATATTATTCAATAAAATGGATTAAATTAAAATTTTCAAAAGTTTAATATTCTTATCAAAACAATAATTCTATCTTTTATATAAAATTGATAATTGACTTTGTTCAACTTAAACATGAAACTTAATGTATTTTTTCAATCCTAAACTGATAATATATTTGAAAGTCAAGATCAAGAAAAATATATTAAAAAATTCTGCAAAGGATTCCATTTATGTACAAACGAATGTTATTATTCTTTTTTGATCCAATTCAATATTAAAGAATTTTCTATTATTCAAACCCAATAGAGCAAAATATTTAAAAGAGAAGTCATAAGATGCTTAAAAATAGATTTTATAAATAAAAAGATGAAAAAGAATAATTATACATCTTCACAAAAATTGAGCTTAAGGATAAAATGTTCAATGTTGTTTTTGGTTGCTTAATTTTTAAATATGTGCAGAATGGGTTTAAGCTCAATTAATGAATTTAAGTACATTCATAAAAAATAAATTTCCAAACTAAGTATCGAATTCTTAAAAATATTCTGAAGTTATTTTCTTAAGTTGATCAAGATTAATGTGAATTTTACCAAAAAAAACGGTAACGAACTAAAAAAATAGTTGAAAACGAGAGAGTTACGTTTTAGAATTAATAAACTATAAATAGACAATTAGATATTTTTGGATGAAGCAAGTATTATTACAACAACTATTAGAATTTCAGAGTTTGGTAATAAAAGCACATATAATATCTAAGAAAAGAAATTTGATAAAATATCTAGCACAATTTTTAGTTTAATTAAGTAAATTTTTTTATGAATGATATTATAGATAATAATATTATCAAATCAAACACATATTTATAACAAATGTATAAAAAAGTTTACCTAATTTATATATTCTTTTTATTTGGGAAAATTTTTTTACGTAACTTGATTAGAAAATATCAAAAAATAATATTTTTATTAATTATGTTACTATTCAATTTTTGATGTTAATAAGTATTCTACT